TATATTGCGTGTGTACACATTCACATGAAAGACGTGGACTATAAGATCAATCCCTTTTTAGAATATGTTCTCATCTCCTTTTCATACGAACAGAGATATTCACTCCGTTGGAAAATACCTTTATAAAAGTGTACACTCGTATCTTCCCAGATCAATAAACATGTTTGATCTTGATAATCATTCATATGTATTGTATCGACTCATATCACTTGGCTATTCTTGCACGACTCATGTCGCTCGAATATTCTTGTATAATATTCTGGCTCTGCATCGAGTAGAAGCGCTTACTACTGTTACTAATACATGCATATACTTCTGACATGCTCAAATATGCACCGGAAGTCTCTGATCGTGTATATTACTTCTTCTTAGTTGATGGCGGTGGTGTATTCATCGGCACACACATAAATTCAGGGTATCTATTTCTTTGGTACACGTATCCACTCAACACAATTATGTATATCTATCAAAACTTGACAGAGATTTACAAAGCGGGATGTGTATGTACATGCACTCAGATCTACATATAACTGAATTATGTAAATACGAGTTAAATACACTGACATACGAAGTCGCCGAGGCGCTCATTGTTGTGTGCAGGTGTGGGTGGCATCTTGATGGTTGACTCAGATCCACTGCTGACTTTGTTGTAAACTTAAGATTATACGCTGCAGTCGCGCAATCGAATAACGGCACAGATCCCAGATAGACTATGCTTTAATGATATCTGATAGCATTATATCTAAGCGAAGATTATCAAATAAAGGGCTGATACTGGTGCGCATGCACTACTTCTTTAGATTGTACATTGAACTTGCCATATACATGCACAGCTTAGTTCATGAATACCGATTTGGCTATACCATCCGACATATCAATACCAAGTGCGCCTTGTACGTTGCAAAGAAGAGTAACTTCAGGCGCTCTGAAAACAACTTCTCCAGCCACCTCTGTGTGTGTGTACAAAAAAAGTCAAAGGCATAGAGCATAGCAGTGGACTCACAATCACATACTTGATCAGTTAATGGATTGAGTGCGAAATGTTAAAGTGTACATCCAAAGCTTTTGAGATTGGTGATCTGATTGGTCCGTCCCGATAAGCGATTCTCAAAATGTACATTTTACGTAATCAAGCCGTCGTTAAGGCTCAAATATTACGAGGTGATAGAACAACGGGTTTAAATAGACAGCTGATCAAGTGATGGCGTCACGTTTATAGATGGTAGTAATACGGGTTCATCAGTTTCAGTACTTGCGGGAACTTCCAACGAGCTGGTTTCCGACTATTATTGAATCAATCAGATCTTGTTGGAAACTATTTTTTTAAGAACAATATATGAACATAGCCGACCTTAAAAAATCGTATTTTTAAAAATGTCGTATTCTAAATACTGACGAGTCCGTAGTTCTTTTGACATCCATTCGTTCAGGGTTACTTCTGACCAGTAAGAGGTCTAATATTACAGAATAAGATCTATTTCACCAATCCCATAAGCCTTTGGTATACAATGTCTTTATTTAATTTGATACTTTTTAAACAGTATTTTACCAGTAGAAGAGCAGGACAATATGAAAGTTTTGGCGCCTTTTTCTCATACTTATATAAAAAACCCCTAAAAAATGTCAATTTCTTTTCAATGTCATTGAGGCTTAGACTCATCAAATACATAGCCTCCTCTCTAGAGGCTATAGGTAGTAAGGGATAGAACATCCACACATCTTCAAAAAATACATCATAATAAAGTCAGCCATGTTTACACTGTATTAGTAACACTAGTCCAGTAACTTGCACTACGATATGATGGGGTCTACAATCAGAAGAGGTACCTTGATAGTACTGGAAGGCTGCGATCGCAGTGGCAAGTCCACACAGGTAAGAAACGTAGTGCTTCTCACTGTCAGTTTCTTCGGGAACCCAGATCGGAGTTGAATTAGAGCTCTCATCGTGGCCCAACATAAGTTCGATTATTTCTTTCAGCTCTGCCTCGTATAACTTGTACGGATGTTTTTTTTAGTAATGTAGACATAACAGCGTTTCACGTCTCTGAAGTTAACCCAATGACCCTATGGACCACATGCTTAGCGGCGTTGGAAGTGTCTTAAACATATATACTTCATACAAAATCTTGTCGAACATTGGCCAGATATAAAGTCTTGTCAATTTCTAGCTTTATATTCTTATGTATCTGGTCTTTTCAATTACATGTAGGCTATAATTAAAATATATAGTACCCTTTCACGCTATTCGCAGTGTAACTGTTGTATTCTGCTCCACCCCAAAAGCAATTGTGTGCGTAGCTTGGCGCAACACGTACTTGCATATCGTAAAATATGATCATCGCTATATAGAGAAAGTGGCTTCAAAATTGGGTTAGTACGTACAAATCCACAGATAAAGTTCATTGTGTATTTATACCTCGATTGTTTTATACTATATATGTCAGTAATAAAATTCGTATAACCGTTTATACTTTCAACGAACATCTGTACAACTAGACATCTATTTAGAAAACAAAAATGGTGTCTGCATGTTTTATATATATTATATACATATTTGAATATTTATATATACTCTTATGAACAGTATCTTACTTGATCAAACAATCCCGACCACAATAATATTTAGATCACATTTGTCAAAAAAATGGTGCAATATTTGATTTCAAAAGATATA